GCAACCACTTTTACTTTACTGTAATTTACGCCCAAACGTCTGTGCTGCCAAATTATTTATTTGTCACTGTAAATAAACTGTCATTGCCATCACGCACTATACAGGGTGTCCCAGAAGTCGACGTCAAGCCGAAACCGGGTGATAGGCAAAGTCATAAGAGCTATCAGAAAAATATTTAAAAAAATTTTATGTATGTGTTTTGAAAATTATAGGTCTCTGAAAAAGATATAGAAAGTCTGTCAACTCCTGTTACTACAAATATTAACTTTTTTTGGATTTTATTTTTACAATGTAATGATGAATAATGCATCTTCAAACTGGTGTCTCAACCTTACTGCCAACTTTTCTCGTTCAGGAAAAATTGCCACTTATTTCCCAACCAAGTATTCCAAAGTAAAACTTTGCTCAACTTTAACTGGCTGTACTGGAAAAAAATGTACTACGAGAGTTTGGCAAGTAACCTTAAAAGTTGGCGCATTTAATAACGATTCCAAAATGGTATAACACTTAGAAGATTACTTGTTAACTTATGCACAATTTTTATTTGAAAAAAAACTGATGAAAATTTTTCAAAATTTCCTAATTAAACAGCGATTATGAAAACGCACAAGGACCCTTAAGGATAACTGTTTGCACAACAGTGGGTGTCAAAATGCTGCTGATGATGACTTACCTTTACAGCAAATGCTCAAACTGTTTTCCTTCAGCCGCAATACACGCTCGACATCTTCTTAAAAAAGATCGGGTTATTAAACGAGCGAATCCACGGTTATTAACAAACTCAGCTGCTTCCAATAGTCTTTGTCGTAGCTCAGCTACATTTTGAATCGGCTTGAAATACACTTTTTCTTTTACAGTTCCCCAGTAAAAAAATCTAAAGGATTCAAATCATGTGATCGGGCTGGCCACGGTATTGTACCAGACCGCCTTATCCATCTGCCTGGAAAGTTTTGATCGAGATACTCTCTCACTGAGAGTGCATAGTGCGCTGGGCAGCTATCATGCTGAAACCACATGTCCCTGTAAATACTCAGTGGCACGACCACCAATAAATTTTGTACATGATTTTTCAAAAAATCCAAATAAACTTCAGCAGTCAAAGTCTCTGGGAACTCAAACGGACCGATTATTTTACCATTTAAAATTCCTTGGTTTATCTTGAAGAGATATTGAGATTTATCTTCTCTCATCAAATGTGGGTTTGCTACGTACCACTCGTGTAAGTTATGCAGGTTCTTGTACCCATCTTTCTTAAATGTGGTCTCATCCGACCATAAATTTTTTTCAAAGAACTGTGGATCTTTCCTGTGTCTTTCTAACATTGTGCGACAAAAAGCAACTCGGGGCTCATAATCCCGGGGCAGGAGAGGTTGAACACGCTGTATGTGGTATGGATGAAGCACATCACTTACTTGCTATTGCACACTTTGATACCGATCAGTACTCCTTCGTTTACTGCGCATCTTTACATGTTCGTGCTTGTTGATTTCGTACTGTTACTAATTTTGGATTCGAGAACTGGACTGTTGATCGCTTGTGATTTGGATTTGGACTGTTTAATTGCTCTTCAAAACAACATTTGCTTTCCTTACACTTTGATAGTGTGATTGTGCAGTGCCGCTATGTCCGTGTACACCGTACAAGAATATGCTAACATGCACCTCATTTATGGGGATTGCAGATGCAACGCTAGTGCTGCAGCGAGACTTTACTGTGAGAGGTACCCGAATGCAGCTCGTCATCCAGATCATCGAGTGTTCACAAATGTGCACCGCTTACTGTTCTCAGAGGGCCAACTACCAAACCAATCACACTGTGAGGGAAGATCTTTCCTTCCTTACGAAGACGTGGTGCTAGGAGCTGTCGAAGAAGACCCGAGTACTTCAGTGCGTGCAATAGAACTGTAAACAGGTGTGCCCAAAAGTACAGCCCATAGAATCTTGCTCCATCCATACCACGTACAGCGTGTTCAAGCTCTTCTGCCCCGGGATTATGAGCTCCGAGTTGCTTTTTGTCGCACAATGTTAGAAAGACACAGGGAAGATCCACGGTTCTTTGAAAAAATTGTATGGTCACATGAGACCACATTTAACGAAAGATGGGTACATGAACCTGCATAACTTACACGAGTGGCACATAGCAAACCAACATTTGATGAGAGAAGATAAATCTCAATATCGCTTCAAGATAAACCATTGGTCAGGAATTTTAAATGGTAAAATAATCGGTCCGTTTGAGTTCCCAGAGACTTTGACTGCTGAGGTTTATTTAGGTTTTTTGAAAAATCATTTAGAAAATTTATTGGAGGACGTGCCACTGAGTATTTACAGGGACATGTGGTTTCAGCATGATGCCTGCCAGCGCACTATGCACTCTCAGTGAGAGAGTATCTCGATCAAAACTTTCCAGGCAGATGGATAGGGCGGTCTGGTACAATACCGTGACCAGCCCGGTCACCAGATTTGAATCCGTTAGATTTTTTTTACTGGGGAACTGTAAAAGAAAAAGTGTGTTTCAAGCCGATTCAAAATGTAGCTGAGCTACGGCAAAGACTATTGGAAGCAGCTGAGTTTGTTAATAACCGTGGATTCGCTCGTTTAATAACCCGATCTTTTTTAAGAAGATGTCGAGCGTGTATTGCGGCTGAAGGAAAACAGTTAGAGCATTTGCTGTAAAGGTAAATCATCATCAGCAGCATTTTGACGCCCACTGTTGTGCAAACAGTTATCCTTAAGGGTCCTTGTGCATTTTCATAATCGCTGTTTAATTAGGAAATTTTGAAAAATTTTCATCAGTTTTTCTTCAAATAAAAATTGTGCATAAGTTAACGAGTAATCTTCTAAGTGTTATACCATTTTGGAATCCTTATTAAATGCGCCAACTTTTAAGGTTACTTGCCAAACTCTCGTAGTACATTTTTTCCAGTACAGCCAGTTAAAGTTGAGCAAAGTTTTACTTTGGAATACTTGGTTGGGAAATAAGTGGCAATTTTTCCTGAACGAGAAAAGTTGGCAGTAAGGTTGAGACACCAGTTTGAAGATGCATTATTCATCATTACATTGTAAAAATAAAATCCAAAAAAAGTTAATATTGGTAGTAACAGGAGTTGACAGACTGCCGTAGGGTGTGAAATTTCTATATTTTTTTCAAAGACCTATAATTTTCAAAACACATACATAAAATTTTTTTAAATATTTTTCTGATAGCTGTTATGACTTTGCCTATCACCCGGTTTCGGCTTGACGTCGACTTCTGGGACACCCTGTATGTAGATGGATAAAGTCTGTTTAGGCAGAGAGTGGTCTAGATGTGTCACAATTGACAACCCACAGAAACGCGTCTACTTCTGCGCCAACTAGATTATAGTACGCTCAGTCTCGCGGCGGGCTGGAGCGCATTTTCTGAGACACTTCGCAAATTTCTTAAGCCTAACAATAACTTTGCTTAAGCGGCATTTGAGGTAAACCATGTTTTCACGCCATAAACACAGTTGTTATTACGTTATTTGCTTGTTACCATGTAAGAGATGGTATTTTTATTTTTGAAACTATGTACGTCCCATTACCTGTTGATAAAAGCCCTAACTTTAACTGTTACACTGGAAAGGTAAGTTTAGTTGACACATGCATTGTGTACAATTTGTGTAGTTGTGTAAAACCTATCGTTTACTATTGCAGAAAATTAGTAGTATGTTGCTGGAACTCGCTTTGAACATCTACGCCTATTCTAATTACGAGACCAGGACATAATCACGTGATCAAACGAATTTACCTGTAAGTGCTCATTCTTAATTATGTGAAGGCCTCGTCGAAGTAAATAGCTCCCTCCTTCCCTACGTATCACCATCACCTAATAGTTGCAACAACAAACAACTTGACTTTGAAGAAAATGAGAGTTTGTCGGTCAGGCGCCGGGGAGGAGGAAGCTGGGAGGGCGCGGTTACTGCTTTTCTTCGTTGCGTGCACGCTTTGAATTCGTGTGTCTGGTCGGGAAACGGGGGACTACAGCTGTTCTATTTACTTAGAGGAGGCCTTCACATAATTGAGATCAAACATCACTAACAGGTAAGTTCGTTTGATCATGCAATGATAATGATAACTGAATTCTTCAGACATGGAAGCGTTCCAACGTCTGTACGACCGCAACCAGTACAGCACATTTTCCACTAGAGCAGCCAAGCTATGATTTGTCATCGATACTCGGAAAACGTTAATATTACGGCATTCGTAATAAGCTTGATATGTGATTTATGTACATATAATAAATAAACAGTAAGGGTAAAGACAAACAGAGCTGTTTTGACCGACGCGTTTATCGAATTGGTGCCCGAGTCGTATGCTGTATAATATATCATTCGTAGTACAAAATACACACAGCGGTACGACGCGTTTCGTTTCATGCGGCGGTTTTAAAACAGCTTCGGTTTGTAGTTGATCTGAGGAATCGAGTCGGTTTAATTTAAGTAGCGCGTTGAGTCATTCAGCGTCATTAGATTACTCTGTTCACTCTCGTACGTGACTCGACTCGTTTTGAATAGAAATGGAAGCACACAAAATTGATATTGAAACGCTAATTAGCGAAGTAGAGAACCGACCGCCACTTTGGGATATGAGGAAAAAGCGATAGGGTTATGAGAAGAAAATGTTGGGAGGAACTAGTAAATTTGTTTGCAAAAGAAAACAGCACAATTGACGAAAAGAACCTGTTAGGTAGGTATAATAATTGTTTATAATAAGAACAAATTAACAACATTGTTTATTGGCTATCTTTATTATTTAAACGGTGTTTTGTTTTACAAAATATTGAGCGTATTTATCTCTAGCAGATAATGCTAATGGATTTCCTCTGTGGGTTGTATCTGGTGCTAGACCATCAAGATTGATATTTTCATCTAACTTCTCGTCATTCGACCGAGTGCCATCCCTTGTCCTTATAAAATTATGTAACACACAAGCAGCTTTAACTACAGTTACAGTTACATCAATATCGAGGTCAATAGGTCAATGAAATATACGCCATTTGTTGGCTAGAATACCAAAACACCATTCGATATATCTTCTGGCTCGGGTTAATCTAGCATTGAAAGTTTCTTTTAAAGGCGTCAGTTGTTTACCTCCAAAAGGTCTAAGCAAATTTTCGGATAAGGGGAATGTCTCATCGCCAACTATTATGAAAGGATATTTTTCCTTCGTTTCGTCAATAGCACATGGTGCAGGAACTCCTAATGTACCACCAACTAATCGTTCATAAAGTTTAGAATTTGTGAATATGCCAGCATCACTTGATTTACCATATGATCCCACTTCAATATACGTGAAGCAATAATTGGCATCGCAGTACCATAGAATAGTACTGTTTATAATTGTTTCCCGTCTATTGCACTTATACAGTTGGGAAACTGTGCACATGTTTGAAACCCTTTAGCAATTTCCATTTCTCTGTTGAACATTGCGGTATAACTTTGTCTGTTACATTCAATCTATATTGCTTTGCATACTTCTTGTATAATGTTACTAGTAGTAGATCTACCAATTCGAAAATTATAATGTAATTCGGCCAAAGAGCAGCCCGTGGCCAAATATCTAAAATGAAAAAATGCAGTTAATTAAAACGTAATGTACGTAATTCTATTTTGTTACAGGTAATGAATTGCATAAAAAGTGGAAAAATATCCGAGACAACTTTTCAAGAGATATTCATCAAAGGAAAGGAAAGTCAGGGGCTGGAGCTTATCGGAAAGCTCCTTACGTTTATACACAGAGGTCACAATTTCAATTTCTCACAGATGTAATACTGCCCAGACAAACCACCAGTTCATTGGATAATGAATATTCATCCGAATTAGATACAAATAACCCTGAAACGCTCACTTTCATCTATAAAGAAAAGTATAATTATAAAATTGACAAAAAAAGGACACACCCGGTCGAAGAAAAAATATTACATTCACTTGAAAATTACGAAAAAAGAGCAAACAAGACGATGACTGAAGATGACAATGACCACTTTGCACTTTCCCTAGTACTTTCACTTATTGCACTGCCAAGACATTTCGATACAAAATGCAGGATTGAAATAATGATCAGACATCAGATACACCACCACATCAGCAAACGTATTCCATAACCCATTATCCCAGTCAGTCAGGACTTGTACAACATCCACAAGAGCAGTATGGAGTATCTCAGAATGCCGCCAAACAACATATAAACTCCACACTACCTCCAGCTCCTTCACCAGCTGAATCAGTTAGAAGCTATTATTCCCACTTTTCGGAAGACGATTCCCAGTTTAGTATAGTTAATATGAATTGAATAAATATACTCTTATAATGTATGAAAGATTGTGGAATAAATTTTTAATAAAATGAGAAACAGTTACCTAATTTATTTGCTTACCGGATAGGTATTACTAGTTTTTCTTCTGGTGTTATCGCATTTCTCATACGTGTATCTTTCTTTGCTAGTTTTTCTCCACAAACTGCTAATAACTCGTAAAAAGTACATCGCGACATCCTAGTAAAGTTGAAAAACTTTTCTTCATCTCTTTGTACTTCAGCAAACAATGTATGAAAATGACCTTTTCGTTGCCTTTCTTCGATGATTGGATGTATCCACATTCTTCTATTCCTTTTTTCCTTTTTACTAATTTTCCAATACAAATACAGTAGCGATAAATACAATACGTCATCCATTCTGCAAATCGAATGGATCACTGCATAAACCGCTGAAGAAACAGCTCAGTGTGGATTACTAGAACGCGGCCGATTCGATAAACGCGTCGGTCAAAACAGCTCTGTTTGTCTTTACCCTAAGTCTGCTGCGGCAGCCGAAGTCCAAGATGAAGCAGTATTATGTAGAACTACACCCCGACCAGGGCAGGAACTTCGACATCCTCATAAATTTGTAATAAATTAGTTGTGATAAATTGGTGTGAGAGTACAGGTCGGCAAATCCAGCTTGAGCCGCGAGATGCGCAGAAAACATAGTGAGACGGTGGATGTCTCAGAGAAACGGTAATAGCCGACGGATATAGAAGCACAGTCGGCGCGGCAAATTCAGTTACAGCCTGCCAATTTCTGTTATTTCATTCAATTTGATGAAAGGTTACATATTTTACGATTACAATTCGCCCTTCGTAGACAACCCCTGGATTTCGCTTACTAACTACACTGAGAGAAATTTATAAAAGACATCCGAATTCGGCATTTCACTAGAACTTTACGGAAAAAATGTTGGGATGCAATTCTTATTAAGGGATTGATTGATTAGCTAATTGCTTGATGGTCGCATATACATTGAATCTAGCTGAATAGGGCGGATAACCCTTCATAAAAAACGTGCCTCAGCTCTGAGCCTAATGTTTAGATCTTTTCAGAAAACAGTAAATTGTGTACAAAGATGTTGAAACCCTATATCTTTTATAATGTCTCACAATTTATGAGATATGCTCTGCTCTAAGCTTAATTTTTCAAATAAGGAAAGAAATATTGATTTTAACTGAAAAACATAATACAAAAAAGCTTCAGGTGGGGGTTTTAAACCCTAAAGATTCTGTTATCATTTTCGAAAATTTTAGAATGGAACAACAGTTTACTATCCAAACTATCAGCACCTTTAGAGAGTTTTACACATATGTCTCAGGAATGAATCTGCACTTTCATTTATCATCATCAGCCTCAAAGAATGATGTACGTCTTATCAGAGTTGGTTTCATACACTATAGAGTCTCCTACTAATTTTACACCCAAAATTCTGCTATCTTCCTCACTATTTACAGACGCGCCTGCACTTCCTGCGTTGCGGTTTTAAACACGACAAAACAAAGCGCTTGGCCACAAATTACGCTTGGCGCATCACACTGGACTTCTCAACCTGGCAAAAATCGAACTCAACGTGGGTTTTGCGTTTAGATGTAAGGGCATGTGCACCCGATACGCTCAAATTGGAATTTGTTCTTGGATCGCTGCCATGTGTACGCCCCAACCTTGCGCCTTTTAGCGTACATGTCTTTTCAGTAATTTTTACGCCTTTTCTCAAAATAGTCTTCTAATATTGAAGAGAGACGTCAATATTCCAGGAAGCGCAAGCTCGTTACGAAAAGTCAGTAAACATACTCGACAATGGTTTGGAAGTGATGAAAAAGAATTTTTCGAATTTACTATTACTACTGGAAGCAGAAAAGGCTATAATGGAAGAAAAACAGTTTAGTTTGGAAGATGTCAAGAATTTTATAGCAATGGAAAATGTTGAGGCAGTTATGGAGAGATTTACGGAAATGCAAACGGAAGGATGGAAGACTCGTGCCGTAGATAACGTTTCAGGTGGGTACTTACGTTTGAAAATAGCTAAAAATTATTTCAAAGTAGTCATTGAAGTATTTTTGGATTTGAAGAGGGCATTTGAAACGACTGATAGAGATATTTTGTTAGGTAAATTGAAGGGATATGGTATAACAGGAAGTGTTTTAGATTGGTTTAGAAATTATTCGTCTAAAAGGATGCAAGTTACAAAAGTTAATGACACTATTTCATCAAAAATTGAAAATACATTGGGTGTTCCACAGGGCAGTATCCTGGGACCACTTCTTTTTATTTTATACATAAATGATTTACCTGCCATAGTCAAAAAATGCAAAATTCAGATTTTCGCCGATGACACTATGATTTATATAAGTACTAAAAATATTCAGTCTGGTATCTCTTATATAAATGAAGACTTGAAGCTTGTCTCAAAATGGTTAGCATCTAACAGACTAAAATTAAATGCAAGTAAAACGAAAGCCTTGTTAATCGGAAAAAAGCACTGTACAAATGTTCAACTGAATATTGATGGTGAAGATATTGAATTCGTAGAAAATTTTAAATACCTGCGGGTTTTTGTTGACTCTCGATTAATTTTTGATATTCATTATGAAAAAGTTATAAATAAGATTAGTAGTAAAGTGGGATATTTATCGAGAGTTTCTGGATGTCTGAGTTCATATAGCAGAAAAATTATCTATAATACCATCATTCTTCCAAATTTCTTGTAGTGTTCGACTATTCTATTTACAAAATAAGTGCATGAGAATAATACTAAATAAAGATAAATATACTCCAATTAGGCAAATGCTTAGCAAATTAAAATGGCTCAATGTAAAAATTTTTATCAAATATCTTGTAATGATATTCATTTATAAAGTAAAAAATAATATATTTCCATCAAGTCTAACTAATTTAACATCATCAAATGTCGACCATCATTTACATAATACCAGAAATAAGGATGACTTCCATTTAATGACCAAAGAGTAAAACATATGCTACAAATCTGTATTCCATCAAGGGTTGATTGAATATAATAAATTATACTCGGAGATAAAAGACCAGAAAACTTTGACAAAATTTAAAGTAAAATTGAGAAATCACTTGTTAAATCTACAATTATAGTTTGCCCAGCATTTACATCATACACCATATGGCTTGAATTTACTAGTTCTAAGTTGTTTACAATTGTTCTGTATATGTAGCCAAATGTGCTAAATAAATCTTTCTACTACTACTTTAGTATGCAGCTAAACTTCACTTTGCAGTTTTACAGGGGACTTCTGAAGGAAAAATAAATCCAACTTCAGTCAACTCCTATCTATGGACTGAATTAGATCATCAAAGGGGATCCAATGAAATAGCATCACCACTATGTCATACTCTCAGCACATTAAAATTTAGTGAATCTACTAAAGTCGTTCGCCTTTTTTGTGATGGTTGGGGTGGGCAAAATAAGAATCCATTGTCATTGGGATGTTATCCCATTGGTTATTAAATTGCTGTACCCCAGTGGCGGCTCGTGGCAAAATAAAACAGGTGTTCTGCAAATCCGAACTTACCTATTTTTTATATGTCAGTTCGATCGTGCGCTCCTTCTTGGCAGAAAATTTGTCGATCACCTTCCCGTTGAAATTTTCCATGGTGACAATAAATTCCTTTTCCATGGACAGCATCGGCAATGCTGTAGGGCGATCCTGGATCATAGTATTTCGAAGAAAGCTCTTGATTCTTTTCAATGTTGAGAAATTTCGCTCAGTGTCAGATGTTGTTATAGGAGTTGTAACAATAATTTTTAATAGCTTTTTTCTTTCTTTTAGTGTTTCCTCCAAACTATTTTCTATCAAAAATTTCAAAAGAGACAGAGTACCATGTAAATCTCGGCAATCATTCCGTGCATAAATAACAGACAACTCTGTCTTCAAACGACTGTTTTCTCATTCGGGATAAGCCAAGCAGGTAGTTTCCAACTTGTCATCAGCAAACTTACCACAGTATTCTCCAAAATGTTCGGGGAAAAAAGGGATGCGGCTACCAAATGATCTTTAAACTGAAATCTGTCATTTGCAGAATTCACTATGTTGTCGCATACTTCTAATGCTTCACCTCGGTGATCGTGACTACTATTATTAAGTCGTCTCCTTTTGTTGGCTTGGGGTTCAGTGCAAATACTTTTGGCTTCATTTATTATGTCATCAATTTTGTTTCTCAAATCGACAATACATTTTTCAAAATTATCGATAGCCGTTGTAACTTGCGCTGGCTCGGTTTTTCTCTCCTGCAACTGGTTGAACAAGATGTCGACGTGAGGCATGACATGATGAAAAAATGTCAACCAAAACACGGAAACAGAATCGTTTAACATACGGCGAATACCGCAAGCTGCCTTGCAAACGGTTTCATTAGTGACATTTTCTTCTATTTCTTCCATGCATTCAATGAGTTATTCTCTGTTCTCAAACACTACATTTATTGTTCGAATATTAAAATTCCAACGAGTTTTTTTTTTTTTATTTAACAGATAGTACCGCATCAACCTCGTAGGGTTATTAGCGGCGTGGACGGCACAATAATCTATGTATTGAAGTACATGTCAATGTCTTTGATAAATTTCACAAGTTTATCGGTTTGATGCAGTAACACTTCACTGATGTCATTAGAAAGGTGGTTGAGACTTCTGGCATTTTGATAAGTAGGGCACTCCATCAGGATGTGAACCACCGTGAGCCGCTGGTTGCACGTTGAACAAACTGGGGCATCGGTTCCTTCGAAGATGTGCTTGTGAGTCACTAGTGTGTGGCCTATCCGGAGACGTGACATAATTATCTGGTTCCTTCTTCCTGAAGGTAGGGTGAATCGCGTGTTGACATCTGGAGCAATTGCGAGTAGTTTGCTGTGACTGCCATTCCATTTCTGTTGCCAAAGACTGGGTATGTGCACTTTTATTAGTCCTTTCAAATCTTGGTAGGGTGTACGAATCACACTTCTGCTTGAAGGGACTGCCGCTCTTGATGCTTCTTTGTCAGCCTCTTCGTTGCCTGGGATTCCAGTATGTGAGGGTACCCACAGAAACTTTATCCTCTTCTTGTCGTTGTACAGCAGACGCAGCATGTCCTTAATTCTCCTGAGTATGCAGTTGCGAGGGTACAACTGTTTGATACCTTCCAGTGCACTTAGCGAATCCGTCACTACTAAGAAGTTGGCATCTGTTGTTGTTCGTGCCAGATTGAGCGCTTCCTTGATGGCAGTCAGCTCTCCAGTGTAGACGCTGCAATGTTGTGGTAGTGAAGAGGATATTCGTCGATTGTCAGAGACTGCGGCATAGCCAACCCCATGTGATGACTTTGAGGCATCTGTAAAAATCAGTTTGAAGTTCGGATGGGACTCGATGATGACTTGGTATCTGTTATATATTTCTCTATGGTTGGTTTGCATTTTTTGATATATCTTGAGGGTTGTGTCGAAATCTGGTAGTGGTACTGTCCAGGGTGGAGAGTTTGATGAACAAGGGATAATACTGCGAAAGAGATCTGTATTGAAGTTAGTCTCTTTGATTCTTTCTGCCATTGTGAAATGGTTGGTGTTGTGGGAAGAATGAGTATCCTCTCGGGTAAATATGATGTTGAAAGCTGGATTATTTGGTGTGCTTGCTGTTCGCGCCGCGTAGCACAGAGTTAGATATTGTCTTCGGAGGCTTAGAGGCGGTTCATTAGCCAAAACGTATATGCTGTCAATAGGGCTTGTTTTAAGAAGTCCCATTGCGAGTCTAATTGCTGTGTTTTGGAGCACATCAAGTTTTTTTAATACAAATTGGCTTGCAGTTCCATAGCAAATGCTACCGTAATCTATCTTACTCCTTATGGTGACTTGGTATAGTTTTAGCAAAGATATGGTCTCGCTTCCCCATGATTTATTAGCTAGTACTTTCATGAGGTTTAATCTTCTCTGACATACAGATATTATATGTCTGATATGGAGATTCCATTTTAAAGTAGAATCAAATATCATCCCCAAATACTTGATGTTGTCTGTCATTTTGATTTCGTTATTATTAAATGTAAGGGCTGTGTTGGTTGTTTGAAGTTTGGATTTGCTGAAGATTATAAACTTGGTCTTGTCAGCTGAGAATTGGAATCCTGATTCCATGGTCCAGTGTTCTATTTTATTAAGTGTTTCTTGAATTATTGCTTTGCCGGTGTATATGTTATTAGTGGTTAGGTATATAATCAGGTCGTCGGCATATAAGAGATATCTTATAGGCAGTTTAAAAAGTTTGGTTATGCCATCTATGGCTATCAGAAATAGTGTAGTACTCAGCACAGATCCTTGAGGTGTACCATTTTCTACGCTCTTAGTATTGGATGTGAAACCGTTTGTTCTAACTTTTATAGTTCTGTGATTTAAAAAGTTCTTGGTGAATGCTAGTATGTCACCACAGATACCCATATTCAGCATAGTTTTCAGAATTAGATGTTTCCAGGTCATATCAAATGCCTTATGTATATCGAAGAATACTGCAAGTACTTTTTGGTTATTAGCAAAGGCTGCTTTTATGGTCGATTCAAGAACAACAATGTTTTCAATGGTAGATCTGTTGCTACGAAAACCATTCTGATTATTGCTCAATAACATTTGTTTTTCTAGAAACCATACTAACCGTTTATTAAGGATTTTCTCAAGCAGCTTACACATAGTACAGGTAAGGGATATGGGCCGGTAAGAATTAGGTATATCTTGAGGCTTGTTTGGTTTCAGAAGTGGAATTACAATCGCTTCACTCCATATGCTTGGAAATTGTCTTGATCTAAGAATGAAGTTGTATATATCTTTTAGCATGTGTTTAGCATTGGATGGGAGATTTCTTAAGAAAATATATGGGATGTCATCAGGTCCTGGACATGAACTTGTTGATGTAGTTAGTGCTTCCTCGAGTTCTTCAATAGTGACAGCGTGGTTAAGCGGTCCATCGTCGTCGGGTACAATTAAGTTTTCTTCTTCAGTCTGAAGCTTGAGATGTA